CTTTTCTTGTAACTCACTAAATTTCTTTTTTTTGTGTGTTGTGAGGAAGATTAGCCCTGAGCTAACTACTGCCAGTCCTCCTCTTTTTTGCTGAGGAAGCCTGGCCCTGAGCTAACATCGTGCCCATCTTCCTCTACTTTCTATGTGGAACGCCTACCACAGCATGGTGTGCCAAGCGGTGCCATGTCTGCACCTGGGATCCAAACCAGCGAACCCCAGGCCGCCGAGAAGCGGAACATGAGAATTTAACTGCTGCACCACCAGGCCGGCCCCTCACTGAATTTCTTTATGACAACTATTTTGAATTCTCTACCATTTAGATTGTAAATTTCTGTGACTTCATGATGGGTTTCTGGAGACTTGTCATTTTACTTCTGCTCTGAAGGGTTACTGCAGTTTTTCATGGTGTTTGATGAACTGACCCTTTGCTGGTGCATTTGTGTTAATAGCGGGTCGCACATTCCACCTGCCACCTCTGGGTTGAAGCAGGAGCTGTGTTTCTGCTTTGACCCCATCTGCTAGAAGTTGTATGGGTATGGCTGCTCTATGTTTGCATGGGTTGACCACAGCTGCTCGGCTGGTGGCTCTTGTGGGGGCAGGGCCTCTGTGCTCAGTGGGTGGGTTGTGCAGGCACAGGCCGGCACTCTGCTTGCTGGTGGTTTGGCTGAGCTGCTGTGTTTGGTGCGTGGGGCTCCTTTATGGGGGCTGAGCCACAGCCACTCAGTCAGGAGCCTTCCCTCTGGTGTGGCTGCCAGTGCCCGGTGTCACTCCACAGGCTGGGCTACCCCTCAAAAGGGGTAGCTGTGAACAAGGGTAGCTGTTCGCTTGTGCTTGGCTGCCCCACTTCCTCTTACAGTCACACCAGCCGCTGTGCTTTGTGGGCAGGGTTCCTTCACCTAGGCTGGGTCACAGCTACTCAGTGGTGAGCATTCCCAGTGACAGGCCACCGTGGCACGGTAGGCACTCCTCTAGGCCAGGCTACCCTTCCAAGAGCATTTGCATGTAGGCTGGCCTGTCCTCCACCTCCTCTTACAGTCACACCAGCTGCTGTGTAAGGATCTCTGACCAGACTCGCTGCTGCTGGAGAGGGTGAGGTGTCTTCTCACTTAGTTCCATTGGTTCCCAGGGATCCAGTCCCCCCATCATCAGATGTGTAGCTGCATGGGTCTCTCAGGTGTCCTGTTGTGCTGTGTGGGTATCCTCTGTTGGTTAGTGAATGTCCATTTAATTGTCATTTAGAGGGAGAAAGACAAAGGGAACAACTCACTCAGCTATGTTGCTGATGTCATTCCATCTACTTTTCATCTATATAAAGAAAGCTCATGAATTTATCTGTCTCTATTGCCCATTATATTTTGAGTGCCTGGAGAGCTGGGACTCTGTTTTGTCCATCTTTGTGTTCCCATTGCTTAAGAAACTCCATGGCAGCAACTTTTTACTGTTCCTTTTAGAATTTCTAGCATCTGCAGTGCTGTCTGGCACATACTGTGTACTCAAGAAAGACTTGTTGAATGATCTCAGAAAGTCAGGAAGTTGTCTACCTATTGGAACATTTCTTTATTCTGTAAAATTCTACTTTCATAACATAATGTAAATGTACCTTGCACTATGTGGTGATGGATTTTGATCTGCCTTGCTTGTGTTGGCTGAGGGAATGTCTGCTATTAAACAGACCCACATTAGGAGAGCACCTTGTTCATTTGTGGATAACAGGTTTACTTTACTGGGATGCAAACTGAGAAACTGACTCTGCATTGCCCAATACTACAGGGAGAGTCAGAGATTTGTGCTAGAAATTTCTCCAAATAGAAATGAAAAAAGCCTCCTGAAAATAAAAATGAAAAACCAGAGAATAAGTTTAATCCTAAGTAGCATTTTTGTAGAGAAGTTCTCAGGCAGGGTCTGAAAATAAATCGTTTCAGAGAGAATGGACTCTATCACCACCACATCCATCTCAGCCCTGTCTACTTATTGACAAAGACAGTAACACTGGCTACCATATATTGATATATTGAATGTGTGACAGGCATTATGCTAAGTGATTTATGTGCACTATCTCATTTATTCGTATAACATTTCTGAGAGGCATTAGTATTTCCATCTTGTAGATGAAGAAACAGAGAGGGGGTTAAGGAAACTTGCCCAAAGTCACACTGCTAGTAAGAGCCAGAGCCAGGATTCAAACTCAGTTTATATAACCCCAAAGTCTGCTCTCTGACCCTCCACGCCAGGACCCATGAGGAGCAGCAGACAGCCTGATCTACCTTGCCTCTCCCTTATTTGCCTGTCTTTTTAGTACAGTGATTCTCAAACTAGCCTTGCGTCAGAATCCCCTAGAAAGCATTTTAAACACAGATTGCTTGCCTACTCCCAGAATTTCTAACTCAGCAAGTCTTGGTGGGGCTTGAAAAGTTGTCTTTCTAACAAGTTCCCAAAGAACAAGTTATCTATTGCTGCATAATGGGCTGACTTTGCTGGGTGCCTTCAGCTCGGGGTTCTTCACAAGACTGTAGTCATGGTGTTGGCAGGGACTGCACTCATCTCAAGGCAGGACTTCACTCATGTGGCTGTTGGCAGGCCTCAGAGCCCTGCTAGCTGTAGGCTGGAGATATCAGTTCCTTGCCACATGAGCCTCTCCATAGCATCCCTCACAGTATGTCACCTGGCTTCCCCCAGAGCAAGGGATCCATGAGAGGCCCCCCAAAATGGAAGCCATAGCCTTTTTATAACCTAATCTTGAAAGTGACATACCATCACTTTTGCCATATTCTGTTCCTTAGAAGCGAGTCACTAAGTCCAGCCCACACTCACATTGAAGGACTCTGATAAGGGCCTGCATCAAGGAGGTGAGGTCTTTGGGGGCCATCTTAGAGGCTTCCCACCATATCAGGTGTTGCTGCTAGTCTAGGGACATACTTTGAAAAATACTGCTCTAATTAATGGCCTCGAAACAAAAACCTTTTCTCCCAAGAAGATCAAAGCTCTTTGGTGAGTAAGTAAATGAATGTAAGACCCTAGCAGTCTCCCACGGTGGGGAGAGGGGTAGAAGGGAAATTAACTCTTTTCCATTAAGTTTATGGAAAAAATTACGGAAAGTTTTGCATTTATGACACCCAGTCTCCAGCAAACATTCTCTCTAAAGGCCTATAACCAAGCTGTGAAAGTGATAATGTTCTAAAGTTCTGATAAAAGTTGAGGATGAAACCATCACTGATGGCATCAAGCCAACAACTCAGGTATAGGCTGGTAGAAGACTAGGGTATAGTGTATTGGAAAAGTCCAAGTTTTCTTCTAGTTTGAAGTCAGTGAGCTCATCTCTAGTGGCAGTAAGTGGCATTCCTGGGGAAGCCCCAGCGTGAGGGTGGCTTGCCTTCCTTCCAGATAGCTTTATGTCACCTACTTACTAAATGGCCCTAGGAGGACCCAGCTTCCTTATCTGGTGTACATAAGATGTGTAACAGGGAGCCTTGCATAAAAATGTGCTCAATTAACATCCATCCCCTTTTAGGGGATGTCGAGAGTTTATAAAAGAGTCTGAGGTGTGGTCCTTGCTTAGTTATTTAGATGTTATTTCCACCCATGAAACAACAGAAAATTATACATTGAAGAATAGTGAATGGACATGGGATGTAGAATCAGAAGAATATGACACACAGAGCTGTGTGAACTCAGGTAATCACTTAAGCTCTCTAAGTTTCTATTACTCTATTTGTAGGATTTGGGTAATATACCAGCTGTTTCTAGACCACAGTGTAGTTGGGGAGAGAAAACTAAGTGAAAGCACTTTTTAAACTTCGAGAGATATTTGGGAAATAAAAAAAAAAGACACTGGTTCTCAATGTTGGGTGCATACTAGAATCACATAGAGAACTTTGAAAAGTCTAGTTCCCAGGGTGTACCCCAAAACCATTATGAACCATTTATGCCTCCTCTACCTTCTTTTCTTTCTCCATATGTGTGCATGTATATATGTGTGTGTACATATGTGTATACAGTCATGTTCTGCATAACAAACTTTCAGTCAACACCAGACAGCATATACATTGGTGGTCCCATAAGATTAGTACCATATAGCCTAGGTATGTAGTAGGCTATATACCATCTAGGTGTGTGTAAGTGCACTCTATGACATTCTCGCAACAACAAAATTGCCTAACAATGCATTTCTCAGAACAGATGCCCATTGTTAAGAAACACATAATTGTATATGTAAGTATATATAGGTGTGTATGTACATATGTATATAGACATGTGTGTATACATTTTTAAGGAAGATTCTTGAAATATATTTTTAAAATTTCACCTTTGTTTCTATCAAATAGTATACACAAAGTGCTTAGGGATGACATTCCAAAGAGATGCTGTGACGAGGTGTCCACCGGGATGGGGGTGGTTTGACTTGGAGAACACATGTGAAGAAAAGGGGTTCTTCTCCCAGTGGCCATAGAACACAGCACGGTCGTGTCCACACAAAGCCAAAGTATTCTGTTAGTGTGGACAAATTCGATTTAGAAATTCAGTTAGGGTGCCTGAGAGGGTAACTGTGACCTGGGACAAAGTGGCGGCAGCATAGGTAAGGTGCAGCTGTGCACACGTTTAGTTAGTGTCTGTGCTGAGAAGGAAGAAGTCATGAGTGCCTGTGTGTTTCTGTTCAAGTCTGTTCTCAGGGGACATTGTTCCAACAACAGCTTTTTGCCCCAACTGCTGACGTTTAAAAAGTATTCTGATGAGAATGCCAAGTTCAGTAATTACTTTTGAGTCCTAATTTTTTGATCAATGTAAAAGACTTGATTTTTTAAAATAGTCTTGAGAGAAGAAATTTTAACAGAAAAGATCTGTTTTGTTCCTAACCTTCATATTTTCCAAAATTACTGTGAATGAAGTATTTCACTGGAATCTGTATTTTGGGGATTAATCAAAACATGGGGTTATAACCAAAAGAAACTGAAAAGAGAGGACACCGTGTGCCCAGTTGATATGTTCTCCTCTCTGCTCTCCAGAACCACATGCCGTGGGAAGAACAACCAGGCAAGAAGCCCAGTTGCTCCCTCGGTCAGAAAGCTTTTCACATTGAGCCAGCCCAGAGACCATTCTCTACCACTGAGATGGTGACATGGACCCTCCCCTCTGTCTCTGCTGAGGACGTCCCCAGGGAGACTCCTCCAGAACCCAGAAGCATGCCTCAGCACTCACACAGTTTAGATGAGCTGTGGCTGGAGAAGACGCAGAGGAGGAAGCTGAAGCAGCAGGCCCAGGTTGAAAGGAAGATGCATGCAGGGATAGCACATGAAGATGGAGTGCAGGTAAGCAGTTCACATCCCTGTGTCATCAGGCACCTGATAGCCCCCTTCCTCTGCAGCTGCTTGCATTGCCTGAGCTTTCCCCTCTTTCCTGTGCTGTAGCTTGTCACCCTTGGGCCCTCTGGAAACGGCATGATGACACCCCCAGCCACTGCCTCTGCCCCAGTATAGCCTGCAGGAGAGACACTTCATAGTGGTGTGTCCCAGAGCCACAGAGCTTGTGGCTCCCCCTTCCCTCTCTGCCGTGTGTCTCTGCCTGCGTCCGGCCCTAGGCGAGGCAAGGAGCAGAACAGAAGAAGGCGGGGCCTGCCCACAAGCCCTTTCAGTACTACTTACCATTTAGTGAGGATCTACTCCGTGACACACACTGTGTTAGACACTGGACAGCATAATAATCATAGCAGTGCATGATGTTCGGATATAACAATCTTAAATGAATTAAATAATTATATTAAGTCAATTAAATTTTGTCTCTAGGGACATTTTGACACCGTTATTTTTGCATGAAACTGTCAGCCTATTAAAAATTGACTTCATAGTATACACAGCATCCCTTTCCCCAGTCCCTGACTCTGTTTCTTGTTCTTTCCCTTTATAAAATAGCAGTATTTTTTATCATCAAGTATTTGTGAAGTATACATCCCTGAGTTGCACTTCAACCCTGAATACCTACTTTTTTTAATTGATGTGACATTCACATAAGATTAGCCATGTACATAAAGTGTAAAATTCAGCGGCATCTAGTAGATTCACAAAGTTTTGCAAGCATCACCTCTGTCTAGTTCCAAGACATTTTCATCATCTCAAAAGGAAACTCCATAATCATTAAGTAGTCATTACCCATTTCCGCTTCCCAGACCCTGGCAAGCACTCATCTGCTTTCTGTCCCCGTGGATTTGCCTACTTTGTACGTCTTATATAAATGGAATCATATAATAGGTGACCTTTTGTGTCTGGCTTCTTTCACTCACCATAATGTTTTTGAGTTTCATCTATATTGTAGCATATATCAGTACTTCATTCCTTTTTATGACTGAATAATATTCCACTGTATGGATATATTTGATTTTGTACATCGTTCATCCATTGATAGAAATTTGGGTTGTCTTCACTTTTCGGCTATTGTAAATAGTGCTGTCAGGAACATTGTGTGCGTGCTTTTGTTTTAATACATGTTTTCTGTCTTTTTGGGTGTATACCTAGGAGTGAAATTGCTGGGACATAGGGTAATTCTACGATTAACTTTTTGAGGAACTGCCAAACTGTTGTCCACACTGGCCTCATCATTTTACATTCCCACCAGCAATCTATGAGGGTTGCAAGTTCTCCACACCCTCGCCAACACTTACTGTTTTGTTTTGTTTTGTGTTGTTTTGTTTAAATTATACCACCCTAGTGGGTCAGAATGGTACCTCATCATTGTTTGATTTGCATTTTCGTAATGACTAAAGTTGAGCACATTTTCCTATGCTTGCTGGATATTTGTATATCTTCTTTGGAGAAATATCTATTCAAGTCCTTTGCCCATTTTTTAATTGGGTGGTTTTGTGGATGTAGTAAGAGTTCTTTATATAATTAGATACTAGACCCTTATCAAATAAGTTATTTGCAAATATTTTCTCCCATCTCTGGGTTGGCCTTCACTTTCTTGATTGTGTGTGTCTACTGATGCAGAAAAGTATTTAATTTTGATGTAATCCAATTTATCTATTTTTTCTTTTGTTGCTTGTGAATTTCGTGTCATGTCTAAGTGTCCATTGCCAAATCCAAGGTCAGAAAGATTTATTTGTGTGCTTCCTTCTAAGACTTTATACCTTTTGCTCTTACATTTAGGTTTTGATTCGCTTTGAATTAATTTTGGGGTTTTGTGTGAGGTAGAGATCCAACTTCAGTCTTTCCCATGTAGATACCTTGTCGTCTTAGTACCTACTTGTTGAAGAGACTATTCTTTCCCTCATTGAATGGTCTTGGCACCCTTGTAAAACATCAAATGACCTTAGATGTTTGGGTTTATTTCTAGACTCTCAATTCTATTGTATTGGTCTATATGTCTATCCTTGTGCCAGTACGACACTGTTTTAATTACTGTAGCTATGTATTAAGTTCTGAAGTTGGGATTTGTGAGTCCTCTTGTTATTTTTCAAGATTTTTTTTTTTGGCTGTTTGCTGTTCCTTGAAATTCCAAATGAATCTTAGAATCAGTTGTTCCATTTCTGGAAAAAAACAAGGCCACTGGGATTTTTTCAGGATTATTTTGAATCTGTAGATCACTTTGGAGAGTACTGCCTTCTTAACAATATTAAATTTTTGAATCCATGAACACAGGATGTTGTTCCTGTGTTGCTTAGGTGTTCTTTAACTGCTTTTAGCAATGTTTTGTAGTTTTCACCATATGAGTCTTACACATCCTTGGCTAAAATGTTTCCTAAGTATTTTATTCTTTTTGATGCTACTGTAAATGGGATTGTTTTCTTAATTTCATTTTTGGATTGTTCACTGCTAGTGTATAGAAATACAATGGGTATTTGTATATTGATCTTGTACCCTGCAGTTTTGCTGAATTTATTAGCTCTAAGAGTATTTTTGGCTATTTAGAAATTTCCCTAGATAATATACAGATCCTATACATTTTTAAAATTTATACCTTTGTATTTAATTTTCTTATAGATTATTATAAATGGTATTATATTTTTCATTTAATTTTCTACAAGTTGATTCTTAGAATATTGAAATATTATTAATTTTTATGTGTTGATCCTGTGACCTTGCTAAATTCACTTACTGGTTCCAGGAATTTTTTTAAAGACTCCTTGGGATTTTCTATGTAGACAGTCACATCACCTGCAGGAGGAAACAGTTTTATTTCTTCCTTTCTAAGTTGTATGCCTTCTTTTTCCCCTTGTCTTATTGCAGTGGCTAGGAATTCCAGTAGTGTGTTGAATAAGAGTGGCCTTATTCCCTTTCTTTCACTATGAAGTATGATGTTAGCTATAGTGTTTTTATAGAATCTCAAATTGAGGAATTTCCCCTCTGTTCCTAGTTTCCAGAATTTCGTTTTTGAAATCATGAATGTGTGCTAGCTTTTCCAAAAACTTTTTCTGTGTCAAGTGATATCATTTTATGTTCTCTTCTTTAGTCTCTTGATATGGTAGATTATATTAATTGATTTTTTGTATGTTGAATCAGCTTTGTATACCTGGAACAAATCTCACTCGATCATGGAGTATATATGGAATGTACAATTTTTTTAAAACTTTTTATTGAGATTATGATAGTTTACAATCTTGTGAAATTTCAGTTGTACATTATTGTTTGTCAGTCATGTTGTAGGTGCACCCCTACGTCCTTTGTGCCCACCCCCACCTCCCCTTTCCCCTGGTAGCCACTAATCTGTTCTCTTTGTCTACATGTTTAACTTCCACATATGAGTGGAGTCATACAGAGATTGTCTTTTCCTATCTGGCTTATTTCACTTAACATAATTCCCTGAAGGTCCATCCATGTTGCTGTGAATGGGATGATTGTATCCTTTTTTATGGCTGAGTGGTATTACATTGTATATATATATACCATATCTTCTTTATCCAATCATCAGTTGACAGGCACTTAGGTTGCTTCCATGTCTTGGCTATTGTAAATAATGCTGCAGTGAACATTGGGGTGCATAGGACTTTTGGAATTGCTGATTTCAAGCTCTTTGGGTAGATACCCAGTAGTGGAATGGCTGGGTCATATGGTATTTCTATTTTTAATTTTTTGAGAAATCTCCATACTGTTTTCCATAGTGCTGCACCAGTCTGCATTCCCACCAGCAGTGTATGAGGGCTCCTTTTCCTCCACAACCTCTCCAACATTTGTTACTTTTTGTTTTGGTTATTTTTGCCATTCTAATGGTTGTAAGGTGATATCTTAGTGTAGTTTTGATTTGCATTTCCCTGATGATCAGTGAGGATGAACATCTTCTCATGTGCCTATTGGCTATCCATATATCTTCTCTGGAGAAATGTCTGTTCATGTCCCCTGCTCATTTTTTGATCAGGTTGTTTGATTTTTTGTTGTTGAGTTGTGTGAGTTCTTTACATATTTTGGAGATTAACCCTTTGTCATATATATAACTTGCAAATATTTTTTCCCAATTAGCGGGTTGATTTTTGGTTTCAATCCTGTTTTCCCTTGCCTTGAAGAAGCTCTTTAGTCTGATGAAGTCCCATTTGTTTATTCTTTCTATTGTTTCCCTTGTCTGAGAAGACATGGTGTCTGAAAAGATCCTTTTGATACTGATGTCAAAGAGTGTACTGCCTATATTTTCTTCTAGAAGCCTTATGGTTTCAGGTCTTACCTTCAGGTTTTTGATCCATTTAGAGTTTATTTTTGTGAATGGTGAAGAAGAATGGTCAATTTTCATTCTTTTACATGTGGCTTTCCAGTTTTCCCAGCACCATTTGTTGAAAAGACTTTATTTTCTCCATTGTATGCCCTCAGCTCTGAAGATTAGCTATGCATAGATGTGTGGTTTTATCTCTGGGCTTTCAATTCTGTTCCATTGATCTGTGCACCTGTTTTTGTACCAGTACCAGGCTGTTTTGATTACTGTAGCTTTGTAGTATGTTTTGAAGTCAGTGATTGTGATGCCTCCAGCTTTGTTCTTCTTTCTCAGGATTGCTTTAGCAATTCGGGGTCTTTTGTTGCCCCATATGAATTTAAGGATTCTTTGTTCTATTTCTGTAAAGAATGTCATTGGTATTCTGATTGGGATTGAGTTGAATCTGGAGATTGCTTCAGGTAGTATGGACATTTTAACGATGTTTATTCTTCCAATCCATGTGCATGGAATGTCTTTCCATCTCTTTATGTCGTCATCAATCTCTTTCAGGAAAGTCTTGTAGTTTTCGTTGTATAGGTCTTTCACTTCCTTAGTTAAATTCACCCCAAGGTATTTTATTCTTTTTGTTGCGATTGTGAATGGTATTGTATTCTTGAGTTCTTTTTCTGTTAGCCTGTTA